CACTAGTCATATATTTGAAGGTTAAGCAGCGAGCTCATTGGCTACCGATACAGGAGAGAACCAATCAGCTGTGCCATGTGATGATGTCATTAGGTCAGATTGAGTTAGACCTATCGGACTGCGCCATCTAGAGTTTCATGTTTTTAAAAAAGGCTTCCATCATTTTCTGTAGAAGGAACTGGAAGAAAAAACTACAAAGGAAGGCTTTTGTACATTTATAAATGAGAAACTTCACATCTTTTACCTTTTTAAACCTGGAGGAATGAATGTTTAAACATACTGATTTCAAGAAGATATTTCAATGTGTTAAAATTTGCAATGTGGCAGAAACAAAATGTGAAAGCCAAAGCAGTAAAGACTTCTCTGTCAGTCTATAAATCAGCTCTAGGTTTTAACTGGCAGCTAGAGTGCCTTGACCTTTAGAGGTTGAGGTGTTGTTGAGGGTGGGTTCAACAGTATGGAAGTGTACTCAGGGTGAGGGGTGACCGAAGTGCTAGGGACCTTTTGCCTTCCTCAATATTAGTCCTTTGCTTCCCATTAAAATCAGTTTGGACTCTCTGCGAGTCTGGATGTGGGATATAATAGCTCAATTCTTAACATCCAGACCTCCACTTGTCACTTGGGTCAGTCAATATTGAGCGAGTGTGGCTTAAAGACAGACAGTTGCAAAAGTACCTGACTGTGGCCTTTTTGAGTCAAGATGAAAATAATTTGTCAGTGTCAGTGTGTGTGTGTGTGTGTACCTAATTTCCTTTCTACAAATGGAACAATGCTTACTAATGATCAGCTTAAAGCAGTAAAGACTTCTCTGTCAGTCTATAAATCAGCTCTAGGTTTTAACTGGCAGCTAGAGTGCCTTGACCTTTAGAGGTTGAGGTGTTGTTGAGGGTGGGTTCAACAGTATGGAAGTGTACTCAGGGTGAGGGGTGACCGAAGTGCTAGGGACCTTTTGCCTTCCTCAATATTAGTCCTTTGCTTCCCATTAAAATCAGTTTGGACTCTCTGCGAGTCTGGATGTGGGATATAATAGCTCAATAACAAACATCCAGACCTCCACTTGTCACTTGGGTCAGTCAATATTGAGCGAGTGTGGCTTAAAGACAGACATCTGCAAAAGTATCTGACTGTGGCCTTTTTGAGTCAAGATGAAAATAATTTGTCAGTGTCAGTGTGTGTGTGTGTGTGTGTGTGTGTGTACCTAATTTCCTTTCTACAAATGGAACAATGCTTACTAATGATCAGCTTAATGGGACAGTTTATACAAAAAATAAAACGCAGTCATTATTTATTCACCCTCATGTCATAACAAACCTGTATGATTTTATTTTCTTGTGGAACACATACGATATTTTGACTATTTCAACTATATTTGCCCATATAATGAAAGCCAGTGGGGTCCAAAACAATAACACATTTTTCAAAATATTCTTTTGTGTTCTACAGAAAAAGACATTCATATGTTTTAAACAACAAGAGGGAGATGCTGATTTCTAATATGCTGATTTGCTATTTCAAAAACATTTATTATTATATATAATTATATTATTATTATTATTACATATATTCTACCTGTAGCATTGCCAGAAAATTTGAAAATTGCAGTTTGTAACCTCTTTACTTAAACTAAAAATCCAAAGTGAAAAGTGAAAACCAAATTTAAAGCCAGATATAAATCTATTCCGACTGACTTTAAACTGGGTAATGGTGGGAAACAGGAACAACAGCTTACTATATCTTCTCCATGTTTCCACATCCTTTGCAGAATGGATCAGTCATTACTCAGAAGTTTTCTACAGTTGACACAGGAGCCGGGATAGGCCAATTACAGCAGGACCGTTACTCAACCTTGCGATCCCTAGATCACCTCACCTTCATTAAACGTCTACCCTCTTTCACATCAGCATCCCAACAGAAAGCCAATGTGCCCTGCCAGTCTCTTTTTTCTTCAACCTGGGACTGTTTAGACAAGCTTTTATCTTAAGCTCAAGATCACTGTGGTCTCAGCATAAATAACGCCATCACTGCAGATTACTGTGTTCGTTTCCTGAAGTCTTGATTCAATTAAAATAGCATTTTGCACTATGAGGCTGCTTAGAAATTGCAGGATCATTACAGTCTAACATGCTGGTCAGAGAAAACGCTCAAATTGTGCCCTGCAATTCAGAAAAATCGACAGAATACAGCAACCGTTTCTCTCCAAACACTTTAATCATTTCTCCGTTGTGAGTAATCCTAACAGCGTTAGCACTAATGCCTGAGCTCACTGGAATCCCTGACTCATGTGATCACAGGATTACTGATAAAAACCGGTTCACACATGACTATACCAATAGAATGTGGTGCCCATGATTTTGCCAAGAAGGACGTGCTCCTGGGTCAATTTTTTTGTCCTGCATGAGGAGGCAGGGCAGTGTTGGTTAGTATGAAGGTAAACAAGAGCTTGTTGATTTGAATGTGAGAACTTATCATATTAATATTCGTATTTGTAAGTTGAAATTTACACTCACAGCACTGATGTGAAAAGCTGAATCTTTCGATTTGAAGAAAGTGGGTTGCTCATCATATTCAGCAGCATGTATATGCCAAAACGGTTGTATTTATACTTTGCCCATTAGTTGTTTTTAAACTAAAATTTTACTAACTTAGGCCAGCACATTTAATACTTATCACAACGGCATAGGTTACAAAAATTGTATTACGTCACCGATACATTTGTACAGTTTATTTCATGTGTTGTGTATGCTGTCACTAAGTGATGACATCACAAAACTGGCCAATTTGCTTCCAGGCAAACAGTTTTTAGTGAAAACATTGAGCAGTGCTACCACATTTAATAATCTTAGTATGTCAGTGTAATATTATTAATGTTAATAAAAATACAAATACCTTAATTCACTGAATAACTTAGTACTAAATCAGTTTTTTTTTAATATATATATATTTTTTTTATCTTAAATTCATTCAAAGCAGGGGTTTTTTTTGCCATAAGAACTCTTAAGTATTGATGCAGACCATTTGTTGACAAAAGGAATTACATATACTGTATAGAACAGACATTACTGTAAAACAGACCTTTAGGCCTACATTACAGTAGTGTGTGTAGTGTGCTGATGGGAGCCAGGAGGACGTGAATCGTCTGCGTTGGTGAGTGAGTATCCTGATCCACCACGGCTTTCCAGCAGCCAGCATTGTACATTAGGTGAGCTGATAGATTCCACAGTCTTCTGCCATGCAGAGTTGTTTTCCCAAAGCCGGCTTTCCTACCAAAATTGCACGCTGGCTGCTGCTGTTGCATGACGTCGCAAAGAAACCAGCCAATGTTATTGGTCAGGCATCGACCAATAAAATGACTTCCTTCCCACCCCGGTTCTGCTCTCTCGCATCTGCATTTTCAAGTGCACAAGTGAGTGCACAAGTGTTTGCTACAGGAATATTGCGAAAGGTGTACCAAAAGTCAAGGCGCTAGGATTTAAAGTTTGTACTGCCGGATCTGAGAGATTGTAAGTGCCGACTTGAAGTTGTACAGCGAAACTGTGCAAAAGTAAAGTGCAAAAGTAAATATATTGTACACAGTTGTGTCTGTCATTTTGTTTATCTGAATGTCATTTTACACATTTGTAACTATTAATCTGCAAATTCAAATTCAAAACACAGATGTTTTGATTATTGTCTGTGTGTGCAAATCAAAAGATTCAGCTTTTCACATCAGAGCTGTGAGTGTAAATTTCACTCTACAGATAAAATATTAATATGACAAGTTCTCACATTCAAATCAACAAACTCTCCAGATTTGCTACTGTTTTACCTTCATAGTTAGCAATGCCCCCCTGCTGGAAGATGTCATAACTACAACCTCTGACAGCAAATATTTTCTCCATTAACAGCCATTCAAAAATGTGTGTACAGTTTTTTTTCTGCAAGTAACATTTAAATCACACATTTCATTATATTATAGTAGATATTTTAACACTTTACCATAGGTATGTAAAGGGTTAATCACAACTGTATATCTGTTCTGAATTTACTGTATATTTGCAATGTGACTTAATTTAAAATGTTTTCTTTACAAATACCCTTTTTTTTCAAAATTGGTCAGTAAGATTTTTTTTAAAGAAATTAATACTTTTATTATGTCAGGATGCATTCAATTGATCAAAAGTGACAGTTAAGACATTTATAATGTCTCTAATATATCCGTTTCATATAAATCCTGTTCTTTTGAACTTTATTCATCAAAGAATCATGAAAATAATAAGAAACTGATTATAAGAAATGCTTCTTGATCACCAAGTTAGCATATTAGAATGATATTAGAATGATTTCTGAAGAATTTCTGAAGACACTGAAGACTGGCGTAATATGTTAAAATAGAAAACAGTTATTTTAACTGAATTTAAATTTAAAATAATAATATTTAATAATATTGCTGTTTTTACATCAAAACATCCCGCCAGGCTTGGACCCGCTTCAATGTAAGTCTGTATGAATACTTCAGCTGTTTTGTCATTTGCCGGTAATACAATTGCTTAAAAAAAAAAATAGCACCAACCCTCCTCAACAAGCCACATGATTTGAAGTTCCATTAACATCTGTAGTTCAAACAGGGACGAATTACATGCAGTACCTAAGGTAAGGGCTTTCTTCAAATCCATAATTGGCCTTATGAGTAATAGTAATAGCGATGTTTGCCTCAGCAAGCTCTGCTAATTAAAAAGAACAAAGCAGGAGTTTATCTTTTTTTTTAAGTGTTTTAAAGTTTTAAAGTGTGCATCGTTATAGACCATCTTATGCTTATGTGTGGAAGCTGTCCTCAAAATTATATCTAGTATTTTTCCATAAACATATGTTATACAATTACACTTGTTTTTTTTTGATGAGGGTGAAGCCTGGAAGGAATTTAGTACAAATAGATACAGATCCACCAAGCAGAAGCCGGGAAACCTGGATCCATACTACCACTGCAACTGTCGATATCCCCATTGTTAAAAGTCCTCAAAGCAAGCCTAATTAAGCCTGTTTTCAGGCTGTTCTTCAGCTAAACCTTGTCCGCCAGTTCCAGAGGGGGTCTCTGAGAGATAAGCAGGCAATATGAGGAGTCACGTGCCTCCCTGCAGAGCACCTTCAAGGTCTTAAGATTCATCCATTCTGTGCCTCTCTCATCTGATCTCTAAATGAGGTGAGAAGCGATTTGAGTTGGTTCATCCCGTCTGACACCACATCCAACTAAGTAAATGAGGGCTGATGCTCCCTCCAGATCTCAGGAAATGAGGTAGATTTCTGCAAAAGCCTACTGTCAGGCATGCATAGTCCTTGCCATCAGAAACACTTCTACTGAGCATGTGCATGCACTTGGTCTTCTCTCCTCCTAAAAATTATATCCCCATTTAAGAAAATGATGGCAGCCACCATCATGACAGACCTCGAATCTTAATGCAAGGATCATCCCGATAGTCGATAAAAAGGGAGACAGAGAGAGAGAGAATCATTAATGTGAATCAACAGTGAATCTCCATTACTGCATGGCACAACATGACAGATGTTTACATTCTAGATTGTTCACTCATTCAGGGAGGTTAAAAGCTTGGTCTCTATCATTCATGAGCTTCTTCAATTTATATAGAAGGCCTTCTATTAACATTTCATAAGCTGCTCATCGCACAGATCAGAAGAAGCACATGATTCAGCAAGTTTGCTTGTGAAATTAATGCTGAAGCCAATGTAGCCATTTCAATGGACTGATTCTTGTCCAAATTTTCATACAGAGTGGAAAGAATAAGGGGGAAAAAAGGGGGAAAGAAAAGAATTTACATACTTAAGACTTAGATGAACAATTGAGGCATATAAATATGTGGCTAGTACAGCAAGACTACAAAACAGATATTCATAACTTAAAATGACAGTTTATACAATGATGAAAAATCTGTCATTTACTCACCCTTGTGCCATTCCAAACTTTTCTGACTTACTTTCTTCAAAATATGATTTTTTTATCTTCTTTTTTTTTTTTTACATTCTTTTGTGTTTTGAAGAAGAAAGTAAGTCTTACAGGTTTGGAGGGACATCAGGGTGAGTAAATGATGACAGAATCTTCGTTTTTGCAATACAATACAGATAAATACCTCAACTTCTAGACATTTATATCTAAGATAATGCAATTATCTAAATGACGTTGATAAATTGGTCAGGATAAACTCTTTTGTACAAGGTGGCCCATTATGTCAAAAAAACAAAAACTCAAAAAGAAATTCAAAAATTCAAAAGAAATCATTACAATTTACTTCTGAGGCAAAGTCAGATGCTTGACAGCATTGCTTCTGGGATTTTTGTGACATGTTTGCTGCTTAAGCATAACCATTAAGCTCAAACTCACAAAGAACGTCCCCTTGTGGTCCTGCAAGCACATTCATTGCCAATACAACCTCCCACTTAGAGGCCCCCCCACTGGCAGGTTCCATCTCCACACTTACATGCAGCACATTAGCCAATTGGTGAGCTGTCAGATGCTTGAAAACAAGGCAAAAGAACCAATTCTGAGAGTCGATGCAGCAGAGGATGCCTGCATCTGAGCTCTTTCCATCCTTTAACGTCATGTACCCATTCCCATTACACTCTGCTGCCCATTAATTTGGCTTTGCCAAATGGAGAAAACTCATTGACGGGAATCAGGGCATGAAGGAGAAAGTGTTTAAATCACTGTAACCCAGACTGGTTGCATTATTAGGTATCTGACACATGACTCTGATAAGATTATTAAAAAGTAGAAGAATTGTCGGTGAAGTGCTCAATTAATCTTAAGTTCTGTAAAAGTGCTCGTCTTGCGTGCACATGAATGGTTCTCATTAAATTCCTCTGAGGATATAAACAGTTTTAGTATGTACTACAAGTTGAGCTGTTCAGACAAAGATGTCTTCATGTTTCTGACCTAAGTTCACAAATATTGTTCTATAATACAGCAGCAGCCACAGCTGATTAATTGAAGCCACAGGAAAAATTATATAATGTGTCTCAGTA